GTTTTTCAATTTTTGTATTGCCTTCCCACACGCACTTGCGTCTTGGAAATGGAAGCTTTTGAACCGTGGATCTAACATTGTTGCCAACGCTGCAAGTGGATTTAATTTAATGACATCAAAACTTTTCTTACATTCAGCTAGGAGTTTTATTTGCAACTGTGGAACACATTCTATTGATGATGAAAAGTTGAGAGACAATTGTGAGACAATTTATCATGGGTATGATTTTGGATAAGGTAACGTAATTCTAGCCTGATGATTCTATTGTAACAAATTCGAAAGGTTGTAACAATGGTAACTGTTTTAATATTTCAATTTCCTGTCCATTCACTAATTCAGGAACGTCTGTAGCATCATGTGTCATGATTAGGTAAGTTTTAGTGAGTTGGAAACTACTCCTTACACAGGATTGTAAAATATCTGTAAACTTTAAATAGAACCGTATATTAAATGATACCTTATTTAAAGCTTTCTCAATTCTTCTCACGGCGATGTACGACTTTTTGAATTTTGATCTGGATGTGGCAATAAAATCACCACTTAAAAAAAAAACACAATATTAATAAATGAAAGAATGTTATTTAATTAAATGTTCAAATTGTTTTCTCCTCTCTTCCATACAATAATAAAATCTTTGCTTTCGAACAAACATTTCGGATGCTACGTACAAGGGTAACGAAAAATACCTGGATTTTAATCATTTCGACTTTGTGATGATTTTACAGGACTAAACTAACCTAATTTTTTATTGTCTCGTTTAAAGTAAAACAGGTACAAAAACTGAAACTGTTGAAGAATGCCACCAGATAACACCCGAAATGCTTAGAAATGTTCGTGGAAATTTGAACAACGATTTTATTATTGTATGCAAGCAGAGGAAAACTAATTTATACATTTAATTACTCAAAATATATTTATTTATTCATTAACATTTTGCCTTATTTTAATTAAAATTTAAAATTTTGAGAAATGAGAAAGCTTTAAAATGAAGTGTCACTCGACAAGGGTGCCTTTTAAAGTTTAAGGGTATTTTACGCCCCTGCGATATACCAAAACTTACGCCATCATGTGCCCCCTTTGAAAAGAAACTCGACGTGTCACGACATTTTTTGTTTGTTTTCTTAATTTCAATATTTTCCAGATGTGATGCTTTAATTTGTACATCCAGTATATGCATTTTCTCCACTGATTTGAAGGTCGCTTCACCCTACTCATCCCTTTACGTGACGTATGATCTTGACATGAAGTTAAGGTTATCGTCTCATTGTTAGGTTTTTATTACTTACATTGTTTCGAAGAAGTACCTAGATGTTTTCATAAGCTTTTTCTTTTGAATGTAAAATAAAATAAGGTATTACATAATTTATTCTTTTATGTTTTGGATTTCGACACTTCATTATAAAAAAATAATCTTATAAATAAAAGTAGGGACACATATTCTACTTTTTATTTTTAATATTCAAGACATATAGTCAAGAGCGGAAAGAGGCAGTGGGAATAGGGAAAAGATCAAAGACTGAACATTCTAATTCAATTTTCTACAGCAAAAGCTCTCATTATAATATTGCGAAGGATCTCTGCCCAAAAATGGATTAAACGGCTCTTGTGTATTCCACCTTTACATGAAGATCAATGAAAATTTAAAAAATTGATAAAGTAGAAATTTCTGGAGAATGTAATATGTTCACTTTTGTATACGTCACCCAATTTACATGTATTGAATCTTAACCTTAATTTTGATATACAGAGTTTCTCAAAACTTGTAGGAGGTGGCAAGGCACCATTAAACAAGAAAATTAAATAAATGTTTGCTAGTCCGAATGTTCACTGTTTTTTATAAAATGTACAGTAAGATCTCGAACTTACACGATAGATGGGACTAGTGATATCCACGTAAGTTGAATTCGCGTAGATCGAGATATAATTTCGCATATTAATGCATATAAATTATTTTCAGTTACGACCAGAGACTAAAGAAAATAATGATTAAAAAAACAACTGTGTAGTTTTATGAAACCACGATACAAGTGAAACTTTTCGGATTGTAGTCATTTAACTGTAAATTTTCGGAAAATTATTCAATTTAGGGTATTAAAATTAAAATCGCATTCTTAATCTTATCTTAATAACCTAAAAATTGATATGATAATGAAAAATCATTAGTAGACAAGATATCCAACTATAATTTTTTTAATTTCAATCTGCGTATGAGAGTACGGAATGCATAATACATATAATCATTCAGATGATAGACGCATGTTAAAAACTGAGAACAATATTTATTTAAATCATTGAATCATTATGAACTTCAGTTATTCTATTTCATCTTCGCTTTGAGTTTCACAGTCTACAAATGTTATTGTCATGCACTTGCACGAGTGAGTGAGAATATAAATGTTACACGGTTAGCTCATGCGAGCATGGGCGCCGTTATATTGACGTTGGCTGCTCTGCCGAACGCCTTTCAGTTTTACCCCTACTTCGCGGCCGGCTGTAATGCGACATGCGATAGATGGACAAAAAATTTGAGACGATGTAATAAAAGTTTCACTTTAAAAAACAAATAATAAAAGCTTAGATAGTACAAATAAAAAAATTACAAGTCAAAGTTATTTTGATGTTGAAGGTTTCAGAAAATCTAACAAGGTGGTGTATCGGTTTAATTATTTCTTATTCTCCGCAAGTTTCTTATAACACGCTAATAATTTCTTAGTCCTTGTTTTTTAGATGAAATGCGCTCTTCGCTGGAGACTATGTTCTCTAAAATTTGTAACTCCTTTTCAATTAAACTGAAGTCTTCTATCAAGTTCCCAACCGTTATTTTATCTTCTGATTGAACTGATTCTGTGCGACACGTACCTTAGCTGAACAATATAGTGTGGGGTTAATGAGTAGGCAGGAGTTATGTGCCGCTCAAATAAAGTACAAATCGACGAGATTTGAAAACCGCGGAACTCCGAGTTCGGGTAGGTAAGACGGAGGAACGTAAGTCAAAAGGTATTACTGTATTTGAAAGTACAGTCTGGATGCTTTCAAGATTAATTTCAATAAAAAAAATATTAAATTACAGTAGTTCGTAGGCGTTCACAGCCGGTGTTTACCCGATGATGAAGAGCTTCTATGCTTTTCAGTCGTGGTCGAATTCTGATTGCAATAGTAGAATGAACATTCGGGCTATAGGGACGTGGTCTAAGTGAACTATTGTGTTTCGGCCGTGAAAGCCTTTGTTCTTATATTCTGATTGCAATCATCATCGAAATATTAAATTCTTTACTATCATTACATATATTATTTTTAAAACTAACTTACAGCATAAAATAAAAAACATGTAAGTCAAAATTTGTTAGTATTTGATAGACAATGAAAAGAAGAAGTCTAACAATTTATTTGAAGTATAGGTAATATATCATTTCTTTTTAGTTTCACATTTTCAGGGGAGGATTGTGAACATGAGGAGCCCTGGACTAATTCTAATTGGGGCTTACTTAATTAGTCAAAGTAATTACAATTTTGTCAAAAAACTATTTTCTTTAATGATAATGATAATTTAGACTATT